CTTACCAACGCAGCATACGGTGTAACTATACCTGCTGGTAAGAGTAAAAAAAAAAAAGAACAAAAAACAAAGTATTTTTGTTATTATGGTGTGAATTTCTTATTTTTGGTATTTAAATTTTTTGATTTTTTTTTTTTTCATTTTATATCCTGCTGATTCTTTATTTATTTATTTTTTTCCAGCGAGAAAAGAAAAATCGCAAATACGCTTACAAAAGCGAAATTAAAAAAAAAAAATAATAAATAAGAGCCATTGACTTCAGCAATGGGTCTCCTTACCTTGTTGAGGAAGCTAAAACGAAACGACACGGAGCCACGTATTCTTATCCTTGGGTTGGATAATGCTGGAAAGACATCTATTCTTCGCAAACTTTCAGATGAAGATCCAACTACCACCCAAGCTACGCAGGGATTTAATATCAAATCGATCAATTGCGAGGGATTTAAGCTTAATATGTGGGATATCGGTGGCCAAAAGGCAATCCGTGTCTACTGGCCCAACTATTTTGATGAGGTGGACTGTCTAATATATGTTGTGGACTCCGCTGACAGGCGCCGCTTGGATGAGACCGCGTCGGAACTTGAAAATCTTCTTCAGGAAGAAAAACTGCGAGAAGTCCCTTTTCTTGTGTTTGCCAACAAGTGTGATCTCGCAACTGCCCTTTCTCCCGAGGATGTCAGTACTGCCTTGAACCTTCAGAGCTTGCGCGATCGTACATGGTCTATTCAAAAATGCAGTGCCAAAACCGGGGAGGGTCTTCATGCGGGCCTTGAATGGGCAGTGAAGAACCTGAAAAAGTAGTGTGATGTGAGGCAAACGGAGTTTAATCTTGTAAGGTAGAGAGCACTCCCCAATATATATATATTTTGAGCCCCTTCATTTTTCCCTTTTTAGGAATTTGATATGGCTTTGCTTGGGTCGAAAAGTAAACTGAACTGGTTTTATTAGCGTCTTTTCTTTTTATTTTTTTTTCTTGATCTCTCAGAAAAAAGCCTTTCCTTTTTTTTCTTTTTTTGGAAGTACTCAACGTTTTATTACGATGTTTTATGCTGACACCATTTTTCGTGCCGCACTTGCGTCCCATCGACCCGTTTTGGCGTCATCTATTTCTGCCAGGAGTGTTGTGAGGCGTCTCTTGGGTGATAGAGGGTATCGTGTTCCTAATGTTGGTGCAATGGATTCAGTTGTAACCAAGACTAAGGGTCGGGGGTTGCCAGGAACAGCGTGTGTTGTTGGAAGGGCTGCCCTTTACGTGCATCACGGGAATCCGGAAGCCGCAATAGCCGAAATTAATAGGGTTCTTCCTGAAATTCAGGAAGCTGATTTGAAGCGTCATGCAATTGGAATTCGTCTCCGGGCAAAGAATGATCTCTTGGATATAAAAGAAGCAGCTTTGAAAGTGGATGGGGGCACAACAGAGTTGGATGTATGCACACTTCGCAGCGCTATTCGTGAGGATTATGAAGCTTTGAAGTCGGCTTCCTCTGGGTGTTGGCTGGTAGAAATGGCGGCGGCGGAATATGCGCTCTATGAAGCAAAGGCAGAAGAGGCCTATAAGGTTTTTTGTGATGTGGCAGAGAAAACTGAAAGTTTTATTGCCTCACTCGAAGGGTTACACATTTCCTCTGAGGTGGCTTCTGCTGAGAACACGCAATCATTTTCATTGTTGTCCTTTTTGTTGAAGCGTGCTCATGATGCTGAGGGAGTGAATCCATCTGCTTCAAAGATTGTAGAAGAAGGCATCAAAAACATTTTGAATGATGATTCTGTGAAGGGTTCTTTGGCAACATTCAAAAAGGAACTTGGTGTTTCTCTTACGGATGAAGAAGCAGTTGAAGTTGCATGCGTCCTTGATGCAGCACACGTCCGTCATCATTTTCACGACTTTTTCCCACTGGAAGGGGAATACAATGATTGGCGTTCTGAGGGTGCGAAAGAGGCTAAGAATGAGATTGTTCAAGTGTTTACCCCGCAAGCTGTTGTTATTTCAAATGAACTACTTGAGAATGTGAAAAAATCGGTGCCATATAAGCCTTTTTATGTTCCTGAAGATCAGCTTCGAAAGTTTCTTTCTTCTGGTCACAAGAACTATCTTGCTGAGCTTAGGGCGACATTTGGTCCTAGCCCAGCGTGCGTGCTTGCAAAGAGCGATGAAGCTTATTTTGAGGCCATGAATATTTTGAAGCAGGGACCACCTTCTGCTGATACGGCCGGTGATCTTTCTTACCCACAAAAACAAAATGAGATTTGCCGCAAATTGGCCCGCCAGCTTTTATACCGAACAAAGGTCAATACAGCTGTTGCATTGACTCAGCTGGACCACCTTAATGAGGCAGTAGAAATTTTGGATAAAGTTATTGCTGCAAATGAATTTGTTTACATGTGGCGTGCATTTCTTGCGAGGGGGGAAGCAAAAAAAAGGTTGGGATTTATTAGTAATTCTGACAAGGATTTTCGTCAGTTATCCGAGCAAAAGAAAACTTTCCGCCGGAAAATGTAATTATTTATGCATAGGATTTCAATTTGAAAAAAAAAAAAAAAGAAAATCAAGAGGAAAAAAAGGTGTTAATATTACAACCGGTAATTGCTTGAGTGGGAATGAGAGCGGTGACCTGATTTCTTCTTTAATCCATGAAAAAGGTGTCTTCCTCGTCATTATTTATTTGTTAGGCTTTTGGGCAGATTGCCATTTACCTGGGAGGGGAATAAGAAGCGTTATTTGGGCAAAGAATTTGCGCTCCTATTTCCCAACACAACATGGATAGAAATCAAACTGGTGATGAAAAGAAGGAAAAAAATATATCTAGAAGAGAACCGCCGTTTACAATTTTTCATAACAGGAAGAACTGTTGTTGATTTTTCTTTATTGGCTGCGACATCATGCCTGCCTGCCTGTCTGCCTTTTTTTCCCTTTCTTGCTTTCCATGCAATTTGATGTTTTGTAGCCCTTTTTAGGAGTTCCATCTAAGCATTTAAGATATCGGGTTCTTGACAATGTAGGAAGGGTCACTTTTTTGCGCGTTCTTCTTGATTCGTCGTGTGACACAAGGCAAATAACATTGCTAAGGGAAGGGAAACTTGACCTTGCCCTACCCAACTGTCTTATGTACGGGAACGCTGTTGACTCCTGTGCTTCAGTGCCTCGGTTTTCTGATTGCTTAACGAGCGAAGGCCTTGCTTGATAGTGTGAATTTGTCTATTCCTGACGTTATGGTATGGATCTCTCGATGATTTGTTTTTCCGTTTATTATTATTATTATTATTATTATTATTTGGGTTTTTTTGAAACTATTTTTTTGGCATATAAACTGAGCTGAGCGTGGAAAAAGTAACTAAATACCAATTGGTAAAAGAATAAGAATAGAGGTTACTGATTTCCGGCCCTTATTGCCTCCTTGATTTTTTCTTTCTCATTTGCAACTAATTTTGGGGGTTTAAAGGTAATTACACAAAGTGTCATGCTTAAAGGGTTACTTCAAATTATTGGTCTCAAGAAGGAGTGGCCGGTGTTTACTTTAGATGAGGTACGCCAACACAACGACCGCTCCTCAATTTGGATAGTTGCAGGGAACTCTGTATATGATGTCACCCATATTCTAGACACACACCCTGGGGGTCTCAATGCGCTTCTGCGTCGAGGTGGTGGCGTGAAGGACTGCACCGAGGATTTTTACTTCCATAGTCGTGCCGCGCGGAGAACGTGGAACTCTCTTAAGATTGGTGAGTTGGACCTTGGAGAAGCCATGGGAATAGGAACTCTTGCTGTTTCTTTGACAGACTCACGGGATGGTAGTTCTGCGCCGGAGGCATCGCCTGTGAGTCATGCGTGTGCTAGTTGGGAATGTGATGGCGGCAAGAACTGCTGCTGCACGAGTACTGTAGAAACACACGGGAGCACATCTGAGCCAGTTCCAGAGCGTTTATGTAGTGAATGTTTGCACCGTCACTCGGCGTGGCGATAATTTACTCCGAGATCCTTATAATATTTGGATTCATTGTTCCTTTCTTTTGAAAAAAGAATTTATTAACGAATTTTTTGTATTTTCCCAGTTTAATATTTTAAGCCCGAGGAAAAAATAGGCAGGATTTCGCCCTGTTTGGTGCTGTATACTCGAACAGGTACTCGGTTTCTTTCAACAGCGGATTTGGGAATTATGTCGTCTCAATTTTTGGGCTTTAGATGGCATCAACCCATCCTTTGCAAGATTATTTTCTTTGAAGCTTACGGAAAGAATGTGCGACAAGATGGGTCTATATAGTTCTCAGCGCGTCTTGTTGAACTCTCCTGTTTCTCTGTGCGACAATTGACTGAATTCCAAAGATGTTGCCTTGGAGTGGAAAAAGTGTAGTTTTTTCTTTTTTTTTGTCGTTCTACCTGCTCCCCATTGCTCTCTACGCGGAGGAGTCCGGCGGTTGCGGCGCCTTTTTAAAGACTGCCACTTGGCGCGTTCACAGCGAGACCGGTTGTCGTAGGGTATGCGTTATGAATTTCTCCTTTTGTTTCTGCATGGGTGTTGAATAAATCTAATCCTTGCTGTGGAGGATTTTGGGTGCATTTGGTAAAACTGCCATCTCCCATTGCCGTGCATTTTTTTCATATTATTAATAGGGGGCCAGGCCTCATACAGGCACTTTTTGTAGGAAATGTACTATATATGTTACATACACACGCACACAATATAATTTTGCGTGTTTTTTTACGCAAACGTCAGAAAGGAACTGTCGTTTTTGACTGTGGGAACAGTAACATTATAAGGTTTTGTTAGCATCTGCGCCTATTATTCTTTCACCATGTTGCTTTATCTCTTCTGTTTAGACAGTGTTTGAAAAGAAAAGAGTCATGCATTGGGGTAAATTATGTTTATACATGGATATGTGTATATTCTTCCCTTCCGAAGCAATCATTTTCTCTCTGTATGTATAGCGCCATTTCTCATCTCTTTGAAGGTAAGTCCCGGTCTCTTCTTCTCCGCTGGCGAAGATCACGTGCAGCTGCTGGGCATTAATCAACCCACACTTGTCCTGGGGACCCTCAATGCCACACCACTCACTGGCCTACGTGGCGCCAAAATCACTCCTTCAACAACCCGAGGAGACGCACGGCGGGCTCCCGTCCCTCTTTCTCGCAACGCACTGCACCTTGGCAGCACGTGAGGACGGCCGGCCGGCCGCACGAGGGTTGAGAATAATAAGGGTTCTGTAGAAAATGAGGAAAAACGCGCTTACTTTCATGGAAATGTACCAGGGTAGGTATTCTAATTGATTGTGTATTGATGTTTTTTTTTGCTTTTGTTTTTTTTTCTGTGATGGATTCAGAAAATACAACCGCTTTTCACGATGCAGACACCATTTCCTTTTCTTATCTTGACGGTGGTAAGGCTTTCTCTGTGGTTTACACCACAGAGAGTTGAGTTGCGTGGTTGTTGAGTGGCGCCAAAATGAGCGAATTCCAGGCTTGGTACTGCAGTCGCCATTGTATTTCAATGAAGGGCAAAAACAAGAATTGTTGATGGAGGTATTCCCTTTCTTGACTTTTATTTGTTGGTCTGCGCAGCTTTTTTTTTTTTTTTTTTTTTTGAACGATAGGAGCTTGTGAAAGGAATGATCGCGGGAGAGCTGGCCAACTTAATTGATGTATTTGTATATCCTGATAAATGAAGGCATTATTTATGATATTTTCTACCGTATGAATCTTTTGGGAAGAACGCGACTTTGTAGGGGCAGGGAGCCGATAGAGGCCATTGTATTTTGTTTTTATTTTGCCATTCCACCCTAACCCCCTTGATTCCCACCACGCGGCGGGGTCTTGTGGTTGGAGGACCCCAAAGTCTGCCACTTCGTAAGTAACAATATGTAAATCCTAAGTAAGGACAAAGGACCATGCTGGTGGTCCAAAGAATTCTATATATTGAATGAAAAGGAAAAATTGAAGCAATTAACTAACGAACCTTTTTTCTTGAATTGTTTGGTCTCCATAGATTGTCAGGATCCGGCCAGCTCCCCGGAAGATTATCCCGTGGCATACTGACATTATTTCTGACTTTTTTGCTCTTTTATTTTATTTATTGCATCTTTTCTTTCGTTTTTATTCTCTGCGTTCTTTTTTTTTTTTCTGCCTTTTTCATGGATCTGAAGACAAGCTTTGGGTGTTTTTACATACTTAGAATACTACATTTAATATATAATATTTGTTCAAATTTTTATAGATCCTTTTTTTATGACTGTGTTTTGTGGAACGGCGTTTCACGTACCAGAGCGACATAAGCTGGAGGTACTTCAAGATGTCTTAATTGTCGTGAGTGACACCGAGGGGATTATTGAACGTATTCTGCGGCCATCGGACTGTGATTACCACAAGGTGAAGGAAGAGGCCAGGGAGGCTGGCAACCTTGTGACTTTGCGTCCACGCCAGTATTTGATTCCTGGACTTATCGACCTGCACGTTCACGCACCGCAGTGGCCTCAAGCTGGAAAGGCGCTTCACCTTCCGCTTGAGGAATGGCTGCAGGAGAATACATTTCCGCTGGAGGCCAAGTACAAGGATGTAAAGTTTGCGGAGAAGGTTTATAATTCTCTTGTCGAGACATTGCTGGCAAATGGCACTACCACCGCCGCGTATTACGCCACAATTCATGTGGAGTCAAGTCTGGAACTTGCCAGAATTTGTTTGCAGAAGGGGCAACGGGCAGTGATTGGATGTGTGGCGATGGATATTCCAGGGGCGTGTCCAGATTTTTACCGTGATAGAAGTGCGGTGGATTCCATTGATAAGACTGCCGTTTTTGTTGAGGCTGTCAAGGCATTGAAGGGAAATGAACGCGCTCTGGTACTCCCTTCCGTTTGCCCTCGATTTATTCCTACATGCAGCACAGAGTCTCTTCGTGGACTGGGGGAACTCGTGAAGAAGTATAATTGTCATGTGCAGACACACTGTTCGGAGAGTGATTGGGAGCATAATCACGTCATTGAGCGTTTCAAGAAACATGACGCTTTTGCATTGGACGGGTTTGGTCTCGTGACAAGACATACTATTTTGGCACATTCAAACTTCTTGTCAACCGAAGACATGGATCTTGTTCTCAGCAGAGGGGCTGCAGTGGCTCACTGTCCTTTGTCAAACTTTTATTTTTCCAATGCCGTGTTTCCTTTGAAAAAAGCACTTGACAAGAACCTTCACGTCGGTCTCGGTACCGACGTGTCGGGTGGTAACAGTCCTTCAATCCTCGATAACTGCCGCTACGCCGTTGCAGCTTCTCGCGCACTAGAGGATGGTGTCGACCCCAAAAAGGATGCAAAGGAACGGAGCGGCTGGAAGGGGGCTCGAATAAATTTTATTGAAGCCTTTTGGCTAGCGACGACGCAAGGCGGTGTGTCGCTGGATTTGAATATTGGCAAGTTTGAGCCTGGTTACGCGTTTGACTCCCTGGTGATTGATGTGGATGCACGCAGCAGCAACGTGAAGGTCTTTGACAGCGAGGACTCTTTGGAACACATTTTTCA